TATACAATAATTATTATATAATAATTATAATATATATTTTATAAATATATAATATATTATATATTTGAAAACTATTATAATTGCATTAGCAACTTTAATCCTGCTGAATATTTTAAAAAATCTGTACTTCAAACATTCTTTTAAAGGCCATTTATTTCTCTTAATTATAGTCATCTCTGTCATTTGAACAACGCTGAAAGATATTGAAAGATTCAAGATGTCTATACAATAGAATGACGTTCTTATGTCAGTTTATGTACATTGTCTAACTTGCGATAGTTTCTATCAATGCGGCATTTCCCGGGGAAATATAGGAGATTGTTTCGACGAACATTCATTTAGAGAGAAATTTAACTGACTGGCAACACTTCCCAGGAAAACGTTCACGGTTTCAACAGGCACTTCGTACTTTTAACAGGAAATTCAGACGAGAAGTAGAAGCGCCCTTGCGCACACGAACTTAACGGACAAGAGAACTCCATATATTTGATATAAATCGGACTAAATTGCCACTTTTGAACATTGCTTCGTCCGAAAGCATAGGAACGATCGATAATATGACCTCGTGCACTTTATTCAGAATTGGAGTGAGGAAAGGAGTTGTATACATCACGAGCGCAATGCGGCGTAGAGGTGACGGTAGGGAAAGTTATCGTCGTAAATTAGTCGTCACAGGATAAAAGTCCAGACAACATAAAAGCTTAGAAGACATTTAACCCTTTGCGAATTAATCTCGAAGCAAAATTAAATTCTTTGTTTCCCTCAATCCAATGTCATCCAAGATATCTAATCTCGAAATTATCAGGTCTGTTTTAATATTTTAAGGATCACGTGAAAGTAAAAAATTGTTACATGTTTTAAGAAATTTCAACATTGTATGGAAAGGAAGTTTTGATGAAAATGGAGATCTAGTTTTCAATGATTCTACTCTTTTGATTGCAAATCTTTGGCAGGATTTCTTTATCCTTTTTGTTTTCGAGAAATTCTCTTTACACTGCGCATTATCGATGTAATGATTTGCGATTTGTATGATAATTTATCTAAATTTTATCACATTTGTTTCGAGTATTGACTATTTACGATATTTTATCTAAATTTTATCGCATTTGTCTCGAGCAAATGAAAGTTGCAACTTTTTTTTATATCTTGTATGTTGAATTATTTATGATTGTGTATAGATAGATTAGTTATTGCAACTTGCGGACAACTTCGAACAGCGAAAAGCGTTATCGAACTGATTATATGAATGAAATTGTGAAATATATTTTATGTGACTCGTTTTTTTTTTACATAATATACTGGCAATATAAGTCAGAAAATTGGGTCACTTAAAATGAACTTGTCGCTAAGTTCTAAATTCATAATGTTTGAAATTAGAGATTGGTTAATACTTTTAATTCCTTTTCATACTTTTATAGCGTTTATTTTTAATTGTACAAGGATCGATCGGAAAGAAAAGATATAAGATGTAATGATGAATGTTTTACATCATTGATAAATCCTTTAGAATTTAGACACTCCAAGGTATTTTCGTTTCTTATTCAATTTTACAGAAACGATACTCGATTTATTTTAATTCATTTATTTTTCGGGATGAATGGAGGGAAATAATTCATTCTTCCACTCATTTCTTTATTTTTCTTCTATGGATTATTATTCTATGGATTTCGCATTTTTTGTGTTGCAAACAATATTTAGTAATGTTGATATGGTACTACTCTTTGCAAGATCTAATCAGTGAATTCCTACAATGGTAGCACTTGTGGTTCTTCGGAATAGCGGATCATGAAAATAACCATATTGTCAAATCGAATCCTATTACCGTGTTAGAAAAATATCGCAATAGCTACACGAAAAAAATGGTTTTGCTGCTTTAAAAATTTAGCTGTAGAAATAGATCTATGAAAATGTATAATTTTGTTGAATTATCAAAATAATTGTGTGAGGCACTCAAGCTGGAAAGTCAAAATTGCTAGAAAGTCAAAATTTTTTGCAGCATTGTCATGCTTGAGTTTCCCATGTAATTATTTTGATGATCAACAAAATTATTCTCAAATTTGTACCCAAGCGGAACAACAAGTCATTATGATGTCAAAATAACTCTAAAATGATCATTAAAAGTAAATTTTTCAATCATTTCTGATGCATTTTAATGTCATTTTGACATTATATCGTGATTTGTTGTTTTGCTTGGATATTATTTTTTGATGCTTTGATACTTCAATAAAAAAAAGTATTTCGAATCACTGAAATGATTCTTTCGAGAGTAATTGTTTAAGAACAAATTAAGAGAGAAATTACAATTCTCTGTCGAGACTTTATAAGCAAAATTATAAAATAATCCCATTGAATCTTATTTGATCGGGTTATTCACAACTTATTTAATCGCAGATTATTTTGGAACGATAGAACTTTTGCATTTATAGAAAAATTACTACGGTGAACAAATTAATTTTTCAGAGAGAAACAGAATAAACATTTCAATTTCTGGATCTAAAGTTCTCTCAGAATACATAATAAATAATAGGAACAGATAATGCTATTACAAGTTAAAGAAACGGAATTTTTTTTTAAATAAAACAGAGAAAGAAAAAGGGAAGAGGGTGAAGAAATAGAATTATTATAAAGAACTATAACAGAAATAACAAAAATTTATGTTGTATTAAGTCTTTAAATTTTGTTTACATATATTTCATTTTATTTCATTTTATTTACACATATAATAACATGACAGTTCGTTTAATTAAGAGAATCAGGCAAGTTTTTTCCAGAATTAAATCTCATCAGGAGCCTGGTTTTCATCACGTTAAATTCGATCATCCTCGATCGAATGAATCGACGTACTTTAAATACATTTTCTTCCACCGACGTCGATATATGTATCCGGTGACGGCGACAGCGGAAAAGTCGAATCCGGGAAACAGCCAAGAATGCACAATAGATATTCGTTTTCCCGGATACGATTAGAAGTTGCGATGTCGTTATCTTCCCAGCCCAGGATCGTCTGCGGGTCTATGACGTAACTTTAGCGGCGCAAAGGTGAAAGGTGAAAGTATCCGGACGAAATGGCGTAACTTGGTCACAATGATGTAACTATTTTTCTTCGATCTGGCGGATTTGTGCGGTCAGTCAATCATTCGCTTCTGATCGAGTTGTATCGCTTTTATGCGTGTAATCACAATCATGCTATGATAGATCTTACAACAGACACGTTCGCGAAGCGAGGATCGATCACTGGACGCTCGCTCGATGAGAATCATTCAGTTTTCCCTTCGCCGATCGAAGTAATTGCCGATATGATGTTAACTGGCATCGGCAATCCGGTTTCGGGATATCACGGATGAATGTGCTATATCCGACAATTTATTGAAATTTAGGGTAGCGTCTACGAAAGCCAACGTCGTGAGGGCTATCGAGCGACCCACTTTCTCCTTCTCCAACCCCTTTCCTCTCACTTCGTCCCCCACCCCTCTGCTTTGCAATGCGTACTCTTAATGTAGTTTTTGTTTATCCCGCTTTTCTTGTTATGATCGCACTATACCCTCTTTTGTCATTTTTGCTCTATTTTTCTTCATAATGATCCTACTCCTCCATTCTCCTTTCTTTCTTTCTTTTTTTTCTAAAAATATTTCATTTCTTTAATTACAACCATTATTTGTTCCTATAGTGTGTATTCTGAAAGAATTTTAGATTCTCGAAATTTGAAATCTTTGTTCTGCTTTCTCTGAAAAATTAATTTGTTTATCTAGAGAAAATAAGAGCGAAATTTTAATTAGCAACGTAGACTTCTATTATTTATTTATTGTGTTTTTTTGTATTCTCTTTGATTTTTATTTCTCTTTTTCTATTCTTTTTTTCAACGTGCATTTCTGTATTTTAAATATATATGTATAGCGTATATACATAGAGAAAAGATTCCTATGAGATACTGAGTTCATTTTGGGTAAGTGCTAGAAATCTATGGGTAGAATTAGAAAAAATAATAGGTCATTTTGAAGGAAATTTAATAAACTTTAAGATAACGTTATGTAAAATTTAATTAAAATTCTATTTTTTTTTTAAATTAAAGAAATGTAAAAAGCAAAAGTGAGTAAATTGCAAAGTAAAAAAATTATGTTCTTAATATGAGAGATATCCCAAGAAATCGATAATAAAATGCAAAGTACATCAGTACGGCAATTAAAAAACTTTATTTAATGTTTCTAAAATACAAACACAGCCAGCGTACGTGAAAAATGAGCATATGATGGATTATATCCAGAACTCATCTTCAGGTAGTTGCAATCAAAATAGGCACTTGGTTCATTCCGGTTATTCTTTTTATTATTGTATAATAACATTTATATTTTAGCAACGATTTTCACTATGACATAGGAGCAGATTATTTCATATT